TATATATATTAAAATTGTGTTACGTTTTAATTCGATTATAATTTTAATTCTGTATAGCCACAGTATATAACTGTACAGCCTATAAAATTAATTTACAGTTAAATTATTTTTTATAAAGTAAAATAACACGAATGCACATTAAATATTTAAAATATATTTTTAAATGTAATAACCAAATAAGTTGGGCTACTTATTGTAAAAATAATTACAATGAAAGACTATTGATCTTGAATAGTATTTTTTGTACTTAGAATGTTCTATCTGTCTGTTTTTATTTTGCTGTGCCACTGTTTTTGTCTGTATTATGTAAATAGATTCCATGACTGGCCTGTTTTGCCTCTCTCTAAGCCAGTTACTGTGAAGAGGGCTAACAGCTCTTATAATTTGATCAGTAGCTTAAACTGTCCGAAGGGGAAAACGTGAGAACAACAGTGTTTGCAGAACACGAATTCTTCATAAAAACAAATCCCAGTCACTATCATTCATAAAGCACACAAAAGCATGCGCATTCTCTCATCCACACTCACAGCTTGATATTATGCTCTGTATACGTAACACGCGGCCCTCGTCTGTGGTTATGTCACAGTTCCACATGCTGGAGAATCTGGGGCAATGGCACAGTCCCTCCTCCCTCCACTGCAAAACCCCTGTCTCTGAACAGCAAACCCAAAATGACCAGGAAGGGCAGAAAGAGAGGATGCTCAAGGCATGGGGAAATATGATAAAGGTCAGAATTAGAAAGAAGACAGGGAGGGAGGGAGTGAGAGAGAGAGAGAGAGAGAGAGAGATGTGACTGGCTAATCTCTGACAGAAATAAAATGCTTATGTAAACAAGCTCTTGTTTGGGCAACAGTACTGTATCCTCATGTCCATGTGTCCATGTCAACAATCAGTGTGAGATAGATAGATAGATAGATAGATAGATAGATGGACAGAACGATAGACAGGTAAACAGAATGATGCATGCAAGCCTTGTTATTTTACAACCTCTCTCAGCCACTACCTGTCAGAGACACTTTTTAATCCAATCGTTTCCCATTGGGTAAAATCAAGTCCTGTTCTGCATTGAATGTCCAGTTTTACCTGGAAATATGTCACAATATGGAAACAAGATGTGTTGACTTTAACATATAAATTCACATAAATTCAGTTTGTCACAGAGTGATCAAACTGAACCCATTTTATTAATCCAAGTCTGTGTTATTCACATGTCCGTCAGGCTCTTGGGTGGAGCTGGAGGGTCTGGTGGCTTCTGCAGGTCAAACAGAAGCACAGGACACCACAGCCTCCTTCCTGCAGGGGGAGCTGGAGAGGGTTCTGCTGGAAGCTCAGCTGGAGTGTGAGAGGAGTAGTCAAACAGAAAGGTGTGGAGCTGCTGAAGGCCTCTGTGAGCTTTTTCATTTGAACCAGTACTCCTGGAAGTAAACAAATCTGCTCGTAGGAAAGAAAAATCACAAATAAGAATCTTTCTTTTCTGTCTTTCTCCAAGACATCAAACTGTGTGTTTGACACTCATACCCAATATTAAATATCGAAACATTTCTCTAAATATTAGTAAAAATTTCACATACACGTACCTCTGAAATGTACTGCCACAACAATTTTGTCTGGAAAAACGTGTATATTGCTAAATATCTCTTTCATTGCAAACTTGTTTGGAGCACATGTGGGTATTTTGGTCAATGTTTTTTTTTTTCCCGATCAGTTTCTAGCATGTTTAATGACTGATGAGTGATTACATACCACAAATTATCAACCTAAAAGCACGTTCAGTGAAGTAAAAGATAATGCATCATTGCTTTCCATGCTTGGTTTCTGATGGTTAATAAGCCTGCAGTGTAAAACTGTTTTATCAGGAAAATGTCACATCGATTTAAGCATATTTTTGCTTATTACCTCAATTTTGCTCTGCAGGTGAACAGCTTAACCAGCACTTTGGTGGCTTGTTCATTGTCTGGCTGTTTTGTGTGCATGCCTGTTTATGTCAAAACTGGGGAAAACCTGATAATGTAATACTTTTTTTTTTTTAATGAGCTGATTTTTGATAGTTTCGCTTATGCTGCTGACCTGCTTCTCAAATGTTTCATCAGTGTCTCCTGCAGAGTTTCCAGTGAGATCTCAACAGCGTCTTAAATGGCATGTACTCTGCAGTTAAAAGACATTTCAATATGAACTTAAACAAAAGATCTGAGCTGCTTACATTCATTTTATAGCTCTTTCTCTGTTACTGGATCTCGGCAATTTACTCATTTATATCACCTGAGACATTTTAGGAGAAACATCTGAGACAAAGCTGAGACTGTATATGAGAACTCCAGTTTCATGAACATTAAATCATCTGAGTGTGTATGTGTGTGTAGGGGAGAAATTACAATGCATCCAGTCTTCGGTAATTATTTTGCGAGCAACTCTTATAACACAGGTTTCCTCTCTGAATTCAGTCCTCCGCAGGTCGTGACCCCGAGAACATCTGGATCTCCCAAACCAGCCAGTGAGGGCAGCAGCAGCACAGATTGTGTGACTATACAGGTAACAGACACCTGAGGCACTGCTCAGTGTATGTTTGTTCCCACAATACTGCCAAATAACACACACTCACACAGTCTCTGCACTGTTTGTCTTTCAGTCGGATGAGAATGACAGGCGAGTGAGTGCTGAATGGGTGTGGGATTGGTCCAGTCGGCCAGAAAACCTCCCGCCCAAGTAAGATTTACCTTTCGTTCATACTTTGATTCAGGTGTAGCCTGTGTTCTTAAATCATGTGTCTCTTCAGTTCACCTTCAAATGTAATAAAGGCAGTTGATAGAGAAATTGTAGATAATTAGTATATGTATCAAGTTTTTACTCAGGTGTCTGTGATATATAATGGAACTGCAGAGGTTTTGTAAAAGTATATGCCATATAAACTAAAAATGTGCCATAGACATAAAAAACACTTACTGACCCCAAGCTTTTGAACAGTAGTACATTTTTCTTCTGCTTCACAGTACGGAGAATTCTGATATACAGGTATGAGCTTAATTTCCTTTAAAATATTGTCACAATATGAAAAATATTAATGGTCCTAAATTTAAATTACAATTTTTTTTGTTCTTTTGATTTTGGCATGCAATATTGGTTTTGTCACACATCTCATGTTCATAGATGGTTCATGTAATTAATTTGAGTTATGTAGTTTTATTAGACCAGAACACAGTTGGAATAGACAATAGTAAAGATGGAAAAAATGTTGAGTTATTTATTTATTTTTGCACATGATGGCAGTTTGCAGTCCTAGATACAATTATGCTTATTAAGGATGCAAATACATCATGAACACCATATGGCATTATGGGTAAAAATAAGTGAGGTGTTCTTGTGTGCTGAAGTGTCCTTTCAGAATGCTTCACAGATTGCCAGGTCTTGCAGTGGAGCGTTTTACCTCCTGCATACCTCTGCTTAAATCTCAGAGAGGATCATTTAGTCGCCACACAAAAATAGCTTGTGCGCCACACCACGAGTCAGCGAATCTGAGCCTCGCTTGTGCGGCGTTTAACGAGAGGATGAGTTCACTCTCTAGAGGAGAAAGTTCTTAATGCACGTATCATTCCAGCTAAAACCTTGTCACAAACTTTTTGAATTGCAACGTTTAATGATGTAGGATTGCAGATTGTAGCAATAGAGACTGCTCCGATATCATGATGCCATTACAAGCAAAAAGCTTTGAGAAAGCACAAAAAGCTTCACTTTGTCAATGCTAGTTTTCATGACGGTGCATATACACACTTTGCAAATATACATCTTGGTGGAAAAACATTTCAAAGGTTATTTGAAATCAATCTTTAGAAATAGAGCTGATGTACAGTCATTTAGTGTCCATCCATCCAGATGTTTGTATTGCTTTAAAAAAATATTTTACATTAAAGACCTTAGTCAGGGTCATATATAGTATATAGTCTATATTTACTATATAGTCATATATAGTCTTTCTGACTGTTTATATATATATAATATAAGTTTAATGCACTTATCAAAATAACAAAAACAGTCAGAATTGTTGTTTTAAAACTATTCAAAATGCATTGTAACTTACAGGAATGGAAAGGAATGGAAAAATTTGATCAAATACTCAATATCAAAGAACTTTTCAAAATAAGCAAAATCTGCACATTTCTGTCACTGTTTGGATGTAGTAAAACACCCACAGATGAAAGAGAAAACATCTGTGCTTACGTAATGTCAATAACCAATATTCTAACCTTGAAATTCTTGAAAACCTTGAATAACCATAATTCTAACCTTGAAATTGGGCATTAAATGTATTTAATGTACAGTATGCTGTTTTCAGAATCATTCATGCATGCAGAGGAAGACAGAAATCATGTCTTTGTGCAGTGTTTCTACTAATTAATGGATAATACTAGACTTCTTCACCTTACGAATGGTTGTCAAAAGCAAAAATGCTATCAAATGCATCATATTGTGTGAGAAAGTGTGGGCAAGTTATCGAGCAAAACAGCACCCCAAAATTAGTAAGAAACAAGTATTGGGGTTTATTCAGCTAATATGATGCAGGATGGTTTAAGCTGTTGTAACCATACTTCTAAATCACAAATCTAAAATATTTCAGTTTTTACAGACATTTCTAATATTCTGTTTTCACTTTGTCATTATGAGGTACGGAGTGTAGATTAATGAGAAAAAAATGAATTTAAACAACTGTAGGATGAGGCTGCAACATCACAAAATTGAAAAAAGTGAAGGGGGTCTGAATACTTTCTGAATGCACTGTATGCTTGCATTCCCGCATTTGCATGTGTATGAGGCAACAAGCTTTATATGATAGGATAGATGAGATTTAAATTGGGATTACAATGCTGAATTTGGCTTAATCTGTTTCAGAGAAATTTAGCTTAAAACACCTTCAGGTTCACCTGGTGCACGCTCGGTAAATTATCCAGCCTGACAGGATGTTTGTTTCAAAGGCATCCATCAAAGGCATCCAAAGTGCATTTTCAATTCGACTTCTCTGAAATTATGCTGATAATATTGTGTAATCAGAATTTTGTATTAAAAGCCATGCAAAATAGGCTGCATTGACTGCACTGTACACATAAACTTAGATTGAATATTTTATAGTCTCTAAGCTTTAAAGGGATAGTTCACCCAAAAATTAAAATGTGATGTTTATCTGCTTACCCCCAGGGCATCCAAGATGTAGGTGACTTTGTTTCTTCAGTAGAACACAAACGAAGATTTTTAACTCAAACCGTTGCAGTCTGTCAGTCATATAATGGAGGTGAATGGAAATCACGGCTTTGAGAGTCAAAAAAAACATACACAAACAAAACCAAATTAAACCCTGCGGCTCGTGACGATACATTGATGTGTAAAGACACGAAACGATCGGTCTGTGCAAGAAACTGAACAGTATTTATATAGTTTTTTTACCTCTGGTGCACTACAATGTCCGAACTGTCCTGAGCACGTTCTCAGCAGCCGGTGCGTGACGCGTCTTCTTCTTCTTCTTCTTCTTCTTGCTTTACGGCCAATCGCAGACTTATAAGTGCATTACCACCAACTATCTCTCAAATGGACCATTGACACTCCTAATTGAGATTGTAGATAGAGTGTCAATGGTCCATTTGAGAGATAGGTGGCGGTAATGCATTTATAAGTTTGCGATCCGCTGTGAAGCAGAAGAAGAAGACACGTCACGCGCCGGCTGTCGAGGGTGCGCTCAGGACAGTTCAGACATTGCAGTGCATCAGAGGTAAAAAATTATATAAATACTGTTCAGTTTCTTGCACAGACCGATCGTTTCGTGTCTTTACACATCAATGTATCGCCACGAGCCGCAGGGTTTAATTTGGTTTTGTATGTGTATGTTTTTTTGACTCTCAAAGCCGTGATTCCCATTCACTTCCATTATATGACTGACAGACTGCAACGGTTTGAGTTAAAAATCTTTGTTTGTGTTCTACTGAAGAAACAAAGTCATCTACATCTTGGATGCCCTGGGGGTAAGCAGATAAACATCAAATTTTAATTTTTGGGTGAACTATCCCTTTAATGCATATGTACATATCTAGATTATATTGCTGAATGACCCTGATTTATCTCTCTTTCTGTCTTTAGGGAGTTTGTGTTTCATCACCCGAAGCAGTCTGGCTCTCTGAGCGTGAGGAAGACTGAGGTGATGAAGAGGGGTTTGTTTTCTTCAGATGTGCTCCTCATCCTCCTGCCCTCTCTGCTCGCCTCACACGCTCTGACGCTGGGTCTGGGGTGAGACTTTTCTTATATTTCATCATATTTTCTTTTTAATATCACTGCAGATCTTTCGCTTTAAGACTCCACAGGAAGAACGTGAGGCCAAATTTTGTCAAATGTGTTTATCTATGTATAAATAGTCTATATATATCGCCTTTTGTGCATTTCAGTATTTTGCAGAATTCAAGGTAATCTGCATAAATAAAAGCATAGGGTTCTGTGGATGTATGGCCCAGACAGCCCCATTGAAGTCAATGGCTTTTCCACTGATTTTAATGCAAAAGATGATTGATGTTGACTTGGAAAGAGCCTTTAAACAGGCCTTTTCGATCCCATTATGAGTATAATTTATACTCTATGTTCAAAGTTTGGGGCTTATAAGATAATTTATTTATTTAAGTTTCGAAGTCTCTAATGCTCACCATGGCTGCATTTATTTGGTCAAAAATAGAGATATAAGTCGTCACCGATAGCCTCGTGGGCAGCGCGTCGACATGTAGCGCCATTGCGCTTCGGGCGTCCCGTGTTCGAGTCCCGGCTCGCGGACCTTTCCCGATCCCATCCCCCCTCTCTGTCCCACTTCGCTTCCTGTCTTACTACTATCCTATCAATAAAAGGCAAAAAACGCCAAAAATAAATCTTAAAAAAAAAAAAAAAAGAGATATAAAGTGAAAAATCTGTTTTCTATTTCAATATATTTTAAAATACAATTTATTCCTCTGATGCAAAGCTGGTTTTTCAGCATCATTAATCCAGTCTTCAGTGTCACATGATCCTTCAGAAATAATTCTAATATGCTGATTTGCTGCTCTAAAACATTTATTATTGTTATCAATGTTGTTATCAAAACAGTTGTTGTGCTGCTTCATATTTTTGTGGAAAGCATGATATATTTTTTTCCGGATTCTTTGATTAATAGAAAGTTCAAAAGAACAGTATTTATTTGAAATATAAATATTTTGTAACATTATAAGTGTCTTTTACTTTTTAAGTATTATTTCTTTCTTTCAAAAACAAAACGTACGTTAGTGTACACTTTTTAAATGTGGCTTCTGTCCCATCTTTGCCCGTTGCAGACCCCGAGTCCCATAGGCCTGTGCTTGCAATAAATCACAGACAATTGAGAAATGTTTATGCTGTTAAAAATCTCTAAAATGTTGTATTGAGTCATACAAATCGAATTTTTGACTTCCATTTTCATTACAGGCATTGATGTTACCTACAAAAGAGCATAAATAAGAACTCAGATGCTGTCTGACAGAAGACAGAAGATGACAGATTATCTTTCTTTCTTTCTTTCTTTCTTTCTTTCTTTCTCAGAATATACATAGGGAAACGGCTGGCATCCTCCTCCACCAGCACACTGTGACATGTGACATTTGGCAGCTCACCGATTGGCTGAGGCCGCTGCCATTAGCACTGCTGCCCAATCACGCTTCTCTTCTCCTCCTGTGATGGGCAACAGCCTCTTCTGCCTCTGTCTGTGTTTGTCCTGTTTCACCACAAGACTCTCTTTCTCTGTCTCCATGTATTTAAAGGGGTTATAGCTATCATGAGGAATCAAATTGTCCTTGATATTTTTAGATAAAAGAGCCTGATGTTCCATGAAAGTATACGTTTCAGAATGATATACATTTCAGAACTCAAAAATTTCTTACCAAAAGGAGTATTTATTGAAAATAAGCTATAACGTCTTATTCTGAACTCCTCTGAAGACGTAAATTTAAGATGTATGTATTTGAATTGCACATAAAGTTATCATTCATTTGCATTAGTTTTTAACTTAATGTGATGTGTATTTTTCAGTCAAACATGAATTGAAACCAGCAAGATTTCTATAATTGTACTAAACTGAATGTGTTAAATACACAATAACCAGTTTTATATATTTATCATCAATAAATCCGTTCTAACTAAATGAATATTGCTTGTTCCACCGCTAGCCATATTTTAACCATGTATATACTTTTTAAGTTAATCAATTTAATTGTTTTCACAGTGAACAACTTTATGCTGATTCTAAGCAATCTGAATACATTTTGAAAATATGATTGTTTAAATAAAATAGATGCAGAGAGTGAATAATAAAATAATAATGAAGTGCAGAAATCTTACCTGTTTCTTAGCCATTTCATTTATGTATGGCTGACAAATAATCGATATCACATTAAGTTTATTAGTTTTTTTTATGTCAAAACTGTGTAACTCAAATGAACGGAAATTTTATATGCAATTCAAATATATTAATATTATATACTTTAAAAATTAGGCCTAAATATTTTTGATGTCAGACTGATTAATACGTTATCACATGATTGACCAGAAGAGTCAAAACAGGTCAAAAATGTTCATGCAAAGAAAATTAGGATTGCTATTTCTGCACAAAATTATAAGTGGAGCTCAGGGAAAACGTTATGTATGATATGACCCCTTTAACCCCATGAGTGTCTTTTTAAGACTCTAAATCTTTTTGTAGTTAGGACTGTGTCCACATGTGTGTCAGGTCTAATACAGTACAATTACTACAGGGAACACAGAAACAGTAATGCACTGAAATCTAGCTGAAAGAGTGTAAAAGAGGAGAAAACTGACAGTGAGCGAAGCAAAAAAATTTATTATTTTACATCTAAATCAAATGCAAGACATACATGCAGTTTGAGATGGAGTTTAGTCATGGATAGTGTATGACTGAATCCTTTAGTGTTTGTGTGGAGCAAAATAATGTGAAAAATCTCATGTTGCAGTAACGTGTTTGAGATATAAATCCATTCCATGTTGTAATGTGAAGTTAACTGGAGTTCATCAGGTTATCTGGTCAGATTAATCTTGTTTGTAACGACTCGACCACAATAAATGTTACTCTTACCACCTTCTGCTTGGTCTGTGTGTAAAAATGAATGTAGATGTAGATCTATTGAAAATAGATGTGAGGCTTTCACCTTTAACTAAAAAATACAGAACATTACCTTGTTTTATTGAGCGTATAATTTTTAAAGTAGCTTGGAATAGAAATGCCATGGTAAATGAATATGATAAATATGGGTAGTTATAAAATATAAGTGACTTGTGTATAATTTGTCTATTTTATATGGTCACCATTTCTTTTCTCACTATTTTTTAGTCACGGTTTTCCTTCATAGGTGTATTTCAATGGTCCTGTGATGTGACAATTTAATTTTTAAAAATGCTAATATTTTATGTATTCAGTGTTAACTATGAAGTATTTCATATCAGCTTCCCATATAGCAAAATATGGTGATATTTCCATCTGATACCTTTACTGTTTATAAAACAATGAAACAAGACAAAATACACATTTAAGATGCATTGTCAAAAGAAAAAAAAAAAAAACTCATGTAACACAGCAGTGTGATTCCCAGAATATACAGCAGAGGTCAGAAGTGCTCTGTGCACTGCATTGCAGTTAATATGGGAGTTATGGCAGAGCTCTACACATTTATTCTTTAGAAGAAGATGTGTTCCTAATTTAAAATATTTAGGAGCACAGTCAGAAATTTAGGAGCACCTTTTGATTAATGATAGAAATGTATTTTCCCATTATGGGGAATTGAGGATTTATATTTTCAGTTTAAATTAAATCCCAGGGTCTTTTTTCCCTTACCTTTTAATTTAATTTAATTTAACCTTATACCTTTAGGTAAATGTAACCTAATTTACCTTTTACAGGGGCAACCTTATTAAATGAGTCATTTTTTATGTCAGACTCTTAAATTTAAATGAATAAATTGGTTTAAAGATTTTAATTAAAACAATAAATTCAATTAGAATAGTAAGACAATTAAATGGTTTGAAATTATATTTTACATTTGAAACTTAAACCGCCAGTAGGTGGCGGGAAGTGTTTGTCATTGAATCATTCATTCAGTCGATTCATTCAAAACAGCTGATTCATTCAGGAGCTAAGTAAGGCCCTGTCCCAAATGGCACCCTAAACCCTCGCGGTCTTCCTCTGGGTCTGCACTTTCTTGACGTTATGCCGCTTTGACTGTTTGGTAGAAGTCTGCTGCGGAGCTCGCCCCAGTGCAGGCTCAGCAGAAGTGCAGATCGAGGGTGCATAACGGCCGCAAAGGGGGCACTCGCAAGCACCCTTCTGAACGCTAAAATGATGAATGGGACACCCTACAGTCTCGTGGACTTAACGGACATGTGCACGCGGCGGCCATTGTAAGTCTGTAAGACCGCAAGTGCACATGAAGTGTTCCATTTGGGACAGGGCCTAAGCAACTTCGGTCTTTATGGTTGGTTATTTAAATCACTGACTCATCTGATTCGTTCAAAACACTGATTCATTCAGGAACGAAGCTCTGGTATGTTCTGCCCTGAGACACTCAACGGTTCTGTTTTGGCTATATTTGGAGACAATATTGTGTCTGAAATGTAAGTTGCTTAATATTATCTTCTTGTTTATTGAACTTGTATAAAAATCAATATCACATTGTGCTGATGTTTGGGGAAAATCACACTCTTGCTCGTGTCGTGTGATAGCTTAATTATATTATAAATATTAAAAAAACAAGAACTCATATATTGGCACAGTTTTAACAGAATATCTCGAACTTTGGGCACGGTTTTATTGATTTTGGTGCCGTTTTCGTCCCAAGCACCATTAAAGGGTTAGTTCACCAAAAAAATTTAAATTAGCTTGTGTTTTACTTACCCTCAAGTCATCCTAGGTGTATATGACTTTAGGCTTTCAGACGAATCCAGTCGGAGTTATATTAAAAATGGTCTTTGATCTTTCAAGCTGTTTAATGGCACTCAGCGTCGGTTTGTACTTCTAATTCGTGACCGGCGTTTTGTTTTGTTCTCTCTCCGCATTCGTCACTAATCACGCAACGCCGCGCGTCTTATGTCATCTGCCGGAACTGCTTCAGTGGATGACAGTCAGCGGAAGTGAGAGAAAAGTGTTTGTTACTTTTGAAATATGGATATTTTTCTTACAAAAACTCATGGATTCGCTCATGAATTTGACGACTTGTGGACTGTTCAACTGCAACACCCACTGAGTGCCATTAAACAGCTTGAAAGATCAAAGACGATTTTTAATATAAAAATCCTCTGACTGGATTCGTCTGAAAGAAGAAAGTCATATACACCTAAGATGCTTCGAGGGTAAGTAAAACACAAGCTAATTTTCATTTTTGGGTGAACTAACCCTTTAACTGTCGACCCTATGTCTGATAATCAAATATTATTTGACAGGCTGCAAAGAAACAACAGCTTTTAAATATATTTGTACAAAAACATAATGTTCAGTAGTTAGTCTTGAACATTAAGTGTAGTCAACACTATTAACTTAATTGGCGCTTGCTCTGTGGACTGATTACATGAGTGAAACGTAGCCTAACTGATGCATTCTGGGAGTTGTTGTTTTTAATCTGATTATATAATACAACTATTCATGAGCTTGTATATTGCTCGTACTTGGGATAGTAATTTGAACAAACTTCAGAAACTAAGTAACCCATTAAACTTTGACCATAGTAACTGCATTGCAATGCATTGTCAACTACCCACAACATCAATGTGTAGTGTTTCATTAATGACAGTATTCATATAATTTTTCCTATTTTCTCAGAAGCCAGAATTTTCCAGCATGGTATTCCTTTTCTCCTTGTCTCTTTCACTTTCTTCTGCCTCTTGAACTTCTCACTTGTGATGGAAGGGTGGCAGAATTCGATTTAGTACAGTAAAAATTAAGACAAAGAGGCCAGAGTTTGGCTTGTCATTTTTACAGAGGCACAGATTTAGATAAAGAGGGAAGAAAAACAGCAGTGACGCATTGATCAAAGCCTGTCGGCCTCTTGTTCAGGAAATTGATCGTCAGGAATAAAAAGCCCTGGGAGATGAAGAATGAAGGGGTAGAAGCTCTTGGCATCAAATCCAATAACTTCGTAAAGGCTTGAGCAACTGCAGAACCCAGCAGAACCTGTTGCTTCTGAGAGATGAGCTACTGATAGTTGTTTAAAGGGGGCATAACACACACAGTTTCACCCAAACTCATGTTAATCTTGAGTACCTATAGAGTAGTACTGCATCCTTCATATCTCCAAAAAGTCTTTAGATTTATCATATTTATAAAAGAACGATACAGCTTTACCATTCTCTCCGGAAAAAGCCCCCTTACAACCAAAAACACACTTCTTTGGATTGGAGACATTCTTCCCGAGCAAGTCCCGTGCAGCGCTGCCGCCGGATGAAGCGCGTTGATAGGCGTGATCTCGCTCTCGCTCTTGCTCTTGCTCTGGTCGATGTGTGCGCGGGCGAAATGCCCATATAAGGAGTTCCACCCTCGTTTACGTCATTGAGAGCCACGATTGAAAAAAACTCTCCGAAACTTATACAAACCCGGAAGTAAGATTTTTGGCACAGAAATACTCTGTCATACGTCCAAATCGTTTTTTGAAATTTTGTCCATGCTTAGCATGAGAATCCAACTCTTTAACAGTGTAAACAACTCTGAATGCATGGAACAGCATTGTACCCCCCCTTTAAGAAACTCCTCATGGATGATCTCATGAGAATATGCCTGGGTCGTATTTCATTCCAAAGTCAAAAGCAAAGAAATGAGAAGTTATATTTTGCATAGAGCCTACAGTATTTTAGGACCATTAAGATTTCTTGCATTGTGACATAATTTTGCAATGTTATGCGTTTTTATGTAGAAACAGACATTTTACTTGAAGTTTTCAGATTCAGTGGTTTCCTAATTCATCATGATGTATAACTATTCATTTATTTGTTTATTTTATTTATTTCCAAATTGCAGTAATGAGAATTTGGGTTTGCATTTTGTTTTTTTTTTGCAAAATAATATTACAATGCAAAAAAATGGTCCTTTCTTTTCATAATGTTTTTTATCTTTATGCTGAATGTAATGTAATTTC